TCATAACTGGCCATAATTGAGACTCTCGGTCTCATGGTCATGAGTTTTAAGCCAAAATCTTCTCAGTCACTATGGTCATGAACTTAGGCAAAAATCCTCTCAGTCTTCATGATCATGAGTCTTAGGCGAAAATCCTCTCAGTCTTCATGATCATGAGTTTTAGGCCAAAATCTTCTCAGTCACTATGATCATGAGAGTCTCAGTCTCATGGTCATGAGTTTAGGCCAAAACCTTCTCAGTCACTATGGTTATGACTTTCAGTCTCAATGGTCATGGTCATGAGTTTTAGGCCAAAATCTTCTCAGTCACTATGGTCATGAACTTAGGTGAAAATCCTCTCGGTCTCATGGTCATGAGTTTAGGCCAAAACCTTCTCAGTCACTATGGTTATGACTTTCAGTCTCAATGGTCATGATCATGAGTTTTCAGTCAAAATCTTATCTGTCACTATGGTTATGAGAGTCTCAGTCTCATGGTCATGAGTTTAGGCCAAAATACTCACAGTCACAACTTTCTCAGTCACAACGGTCATGGTCATGAGACTCTCAGTCATAATGGTCATGATCCAAAATATTTCCAAAGACTCATAACCAGCCATGATCAAGAGTCTCGACCGTTATTTCTCTCGGTCACAATGATCATAAGACTCTCGGTTGTAATGGTTATGATCATGAATCTTAACCAAGATTTTTAGTCACTATGGCCATGATCAAGACTCATGACCAAATATGGTCATCATCAGGGGTCTCGGGTCATAATCACTTGAAGAATCTTTGGGGTAATTCAAATGAAGATCGGCTGTGAATCCTAATGATTTAAGACCCCAACAAGTTAGGTCTAAAAACGTGAAAAGAGCTTGAAATAGAAAAAGGACAACTTGACCATATCAGAGGTCCAGAGATTCAGAACCCCAGATGGAAGGTTCTCACCTACATCTGATGAAGAAAGTCAGATTTGTCAGAAATCAGATGATGCCAAGCCAGTATACAGATCAAGCCAAGCATGACAGGTGCATAGAGCTAAAAATGGCTTGAAGACCAAAATCATCAAACATGAAAGAATATGCACCATCTAGTCAAAAATACTATGTCAGACATACTTGTATCTGCCTATAGAGGGATGTGCAAGTCAGTCAACCTAACCAGCTCAGCAAGGTGGTTAGGTAAAATCACTTTCAACTTACAACCAATCAATTTCTAGAGAAACGGTTGAAAGGGACAACACTAGATGGAGGCTTCTATAAATACCCACTCAAGGCTTACAAGGAGGGGGTCCAAGATCATTTCTAAAAGTTCAACTTTTAGTATTCATATCACTTAGCACTTAACTTTTATTTCATCAAGTTCAGTTTATCACTTAGCTTTTATTTCAGCAAGTTTAGCTTAGCACTATCAGTTTAGTACTTAGTTTATCTTTCAGCATTCAATACTTTAGTTTCCATTTCAATCAAGAGTTTGTAATTCATTCATCATTGCAATCAGTCAAGTTCAATGAAGAAAGGTTTGCAGATTCAGGTATATTTATTATTTAGTTTAAGTTGCTTCTAATTGATACTCATCTTAAATGTTTAAAGTCCTTTCTTAAAGGCAATAACAACCTTAAGGAGAGGGTCATTCCTACTCTCCAACTTTCGCCTGAATCACCTTAGGTCGGTGACCCGACCCAATAGGAATAGTTTGGCAAGAAATATTCGAGTCCATCAGGACTCTGGCACGCCCGCGTTCTAGGTCAGCCATTCATTGGCTAGCGACCTCAGACCACTTTGTGAGCCAAACAACTTTGGCACGCCCAGTGGGACGAGTGTTTTATTCGTGAATGGTCGTTGAGACTAGGTCACAGACTCAGACTTCAGCTAGACAAGCTAACCCTCAAAGGGAAGATCAAGAAAAAAACCAGCCTGCTCCCATCATGCAAGATTCCTGGTCTGAGTATGAAGAGGGACATCAGGCCAACCACCAAATGGCGGTCGAAAGTGTCAGCAATATGGTGACACGATTTGAAAGTAGAGTGGAGGCTTCTCAACGCCAAGTCGCTTGGGAAATCAACAAAAATATGGAGCCATTGGTGGCTTCATCCCACATGACTAATACTCAGCTCCAACAGCTGAATGAGGTGATTAATGCCTTAGTGACTCGTATTGATAGACAGGTCATTGCTCAGCCGCCTAGGTTAGAAAACCAAAATGATAGACCCGTGGACCAATTTCCTCCTCAACAAGTTGGTCAACCAGAAAGAGGTGCCCAGCCACATCCCATGGTTAATGGTCCTCGACCAGTAGCTCTAATTCCACCACAAGTCCATCCAGTAGAGCAAGGAGTGATTGGTCACCAACAACCAAGATGGAGGAATCATGACCAACCTAATGGTCGACCTCCTCATTTTCAACATCAAGTCTTGCCACCTCAAGCTGCGAACCCAAGGGGGCAAGAGGGACATAACCTTTGGCCCAATGTTCCTTTTCAGAACCAAGTCCCACCTATGGTCATGACTAGGGAGCAATTGACTGAGTTTGTAATTCATTCATCATTGTAATCAGTCAAGTTCAATGAAGAAAGGTTTGCAGATTCAGGTATATTTATTGTTCAGTTTAAGTTGCTTCTAATTGATACTCATCTTAAATGTTTAAAGTCATTTCTTAAAGGCAATAGCAACCTTAAGGAGAGGGTCATTCTTACTCTCTAACTTTCACCTGAATCACCTTAGGTCGGTGACCCGACCCAATAGGAATAGTTTGGCAAGAAATATTCGAGTCCATCAGGACTCTGGCACGCTCGCGTTCTAGGTCAGCCATTCATTGGCTAGCGACCTCAGACCACTTTGTGAGCCAAACAATTACATACTGAATTTGACTACATATTATAGAATTCTTGTGTGAGTGGACATGGTAATATCAGATCCCGGAGAGGCTTTACCAGATAAGGCTCTGGAGCAAAATAAAAGGCCCGCTCCAAACCATTCCACGGAAGCCGACAGTGTCCGCGCTCTTGCCATCTTTCCCCCCACGAATTTTGTATCAAGAAATTTGGCCACCGATTGTCTATCGAATAGCCAATTACGAGAATTGTGTGCTCGAGAGGTACGCCTTGAGCAGACGCGATAGTCTCTCGACTATCGCTGTTAAATATCTGTCATGAAAAAAAAAAAAAAAAATCCCAAAACAAACTATATATATATAATTGATCCCTCAAATTCACAAATATTATGCATGACTTCCGTTTGTGCGGTTTGGGGCTGGAGCAAGTAGGCTAGTTCCTGCGAAAAAAAAAAAAAAAAAAAAAAAAAAAAACAATTTTATGAAAACCTATTTCATTATATTCCATTAATTCAAAAGAGACCATTATCCCTCTCCTAATTTCTCTCAATTAAAAAATAAAATAATATTATTATAATATTATAATATATATTTTAAATATAGATTATATTTCTCTGCAAGTAATATGCGTCACTTACATTGAGAGTGCCTACCAAGGGGAATTTATCCAATAATGTTATTATGCTAGGCACGTCCCAATTTTCTATCCATTCCCACTCCCTGATGGCGAGCTTTGATACCTATATATAAATAAATTAGAGAATGCACAATAATATTAGAAAATACACAACTAATTATAGATAGAATTATCATTTTTAAAATATCTTACGTTGAAGATTACTTACGATGCACCCGTAACGCAGTAAATAGTCAAATGTAAATTTGGGATCACCAGTACCGAATCTGGTTCTTTGGATTGGAAACACCGTGTTGATGCACCCGTAACGCAGTAAATAGTCAAATGTAAATTTGGGATCACCAGTACCGAATCTGGTTCTTTGGATTGGAAACACCGTGTTGATCCAATCAACAGGCTCTTGGATGCTAAATAACTTCATATCTTTGAAACTCTTGTCCAAACATATATTGTACGTTGATTCAACTTGTTTTATGACTGGAATTATCCAGCATTTATCTAAAGATAATATTAAAATAATATAAACTATTCTATTATGGAGTATTTATAATATTCAATTATTTTGCTCACTTGTGTGGCCTTGATTTACCACTGGAGAAATAAACCCGTCGTTGAACCAATTTTTTTCAGTCTATATTAACCTAAAAATCAAAATTAATAAAGTGAACATAACAAAATTAATACAAATAATATATAAATAGTAACATAAGTGTTGCATCAAAGATTGTTCTCAGGATGAGTTCGGAATCTGAATCCTCAAATTCTATAAGCATTAGAGGTCAATTAGGCATGCAACTTCTAGATTGGAGTCAAGACCCAAAAGTAGATGGGCCACACCAAACTACCGGTAAACTACCTAACGTATCTCATTGCAAAATATTAGGGAGAGCACACAATAAGCATAACTGGTAAACTCCCTAACGTATCTAATTGCAAAATAATAAGCATAACTGGTAACATGGAAATCGAAAATTGAGGATAATTAATTAAAAGCGAAATTATCTATAATTTTAAATGGCATCTACCCTTCAAGACTATTAACAATCCAATGACGAAAAAAATTATCTGACATCTGTTAACAACAATAGCATAAGTTCAATAATAATAATAATAATAATAATAATAATAATATGATTGGATAGGGGCATATTCTCCAAATTCATAGTATTTAAAATTGGTGTACAAAACGACTCAAAATTCTATAGAGCATACCAGCATGAAGAGAGATCAAGATTAGATTCTAATGAAAACACAAATTTGCCGCTTGATAACTGCGATGAAGCAGTTCTTGGTGCTAAAACATAAAACTGAGTGTCGTGTTTTCCTCTTTAAATAATATTTCACATTCTTTTTTTAAATAATATATTTTACATATTTTATATATGTATTTTGAATTACTAAAAACTAAAAAGGCAAGTTACTAATTTGGAAATAGCTTATCAATGTAATTTGGAAACTTATTTAGAAAGAATGGAGTATGAATTAAATGCACACGTTTATGAATAGATTCAGATTGGAGAAAGATAATACGTCATTAATTGATTTTAGACAACTGTTTTGTTATTTTATTTTACTTTTATATATATTTCAATTTCCTTTCCTTCTTAAAAATTACCTTTTTATTTTTATTTTCTTACCGTACATAGAAATTACTTTTCATCTTCTGAATCCAGTATCTTTTCCCAAGGTTTCTCAATAGAAGCGCCTCAATACTAAGTACAAAAGCAGAGACCAATGGCCGATGAGGTACAGTACGCGTCTAGTCCGGACTCAGCCACCAACAAGAGGAAGTACGGTGACCAAACTCCGCCACCTCCGTCGTCCGGTACGCGTCGGGCCACCAGATTCTCTGCTCCAATCGCGTCTCAGTCACCAGATTCGGGTCACGAGCCGTCGTACGGCGCGTCGTACAACAGCGTTCCTCCACCGGTCGATGACTTCCAGATGTGTGCTCAGGAGATAGCCGCACTAGGACTCGAGGAGGAGCCCAATAATATAAAGGATGTCTCTTTTTACTCGAGTAAATCAATTGAGCTTTACAATGACGAGCATGTATGTAATTTTTTACTTATTTATTAATGGTATGTTAAATTCACATTACAATTGTTTTCATATTGGAAAATTTGGTTGGTAGGGGACAAATTACAAGCTTGTGAAGATTAAGGAGGCGTACTTTGTGACTGTAGTTTGTCTATTCTTATTCATTACTTTTGAGGCTACGGATGAGGATAAGGATGGTGGTCAGTGTAAAATTTTTAATGCTGGGATCTTACATGGAGTCCTCTCAGAACCAAAGGTCAAGTTTTGTGTTCTCGAACGTACTACATCTGGTAAAATAAATTTATTTACTAGTTAAATAGCAATTACTTTTGAGATATTATTTGTGGGTGTGTACATATACAAGTGAAAATCTTGAATTAATTATTTTATTTGAATGCAGATTCAGGACAGGAGCATATGTTTTCGAATATGGCTCCTTCGTCTATACCCGTTTCATATGGTGAGGCAGGCACAAGCAAAAAGATGGATGCAGACCCTAATTCCCCAACCAGAATTGAGCCTATGGGTACTCCGGAACCGGAGCAGATAGCCAAGGCTAAGCAGTTGATAAATGAAACTTTAAATGAACAGATAGTACTTTGTTATTTTTATTACATTAGATTTCACTTGTTAGCCTTTTGGAGTGTATTGTTTATCTCTCTATAAACAAAACAAATGTAAATTCAATCCGACAATGCGCAATTTGATCTGGTTTAACTTCTCTTCTTGATCTTTGTGGCAGGCTGAAACTGGGGGTTCTGGCACAGTTTCTCCAAGCTTAACTGGACACCAAGCTGGAGGTGAACAATTTGTAATTGCACCAGACAACAAGGTACAAGGTACAAGTGGTCCAGTATTTTTGATCTGATTTGATTTTGACGTGTCCAATTTCAGGGTGTTCTCGCAATTGTTCAAGCGTGTGAGATCATGAAAAACATGCCAGCCAGCAGAGGAGTTCGTATTCATCTTCTTCAGGTCTATCATCTAATCTTATACCTCTAGAATGGCTTCGATTTTTTTTTTTAACATTGACGGTTTCTTCTCCTTTTTGATCATTTTTGGCTTAATTTTTAACATTCTCTATCTCTCTATATATAAATATTATGTATATATATGTATGTGGCTAATTAATGTGGTGCGTTTTATAGGGATTGGATGAATTTGATGCCACGAAGAAAACCCCAGCAGATCTATTGTGGAAAAGCGTACCTGTTCCGGAAGATCTATTTGAAGAAGGAGCACCGACACCTAGTGATATATTTGGGAAAACCCCATTCTGGATAAGGTTTTCGTGACACTTAAATGATATATTTGGGAAAACCCCATTCAGGATAATCTTTTATCCTGACACCAAATGATCTATTTGGGAAAACCCCCGTATATATGGATAATTTTTTACATAGTATAATGCCTCTTTTGTCTCGTGCTTCATTCGTTCGATTTTAAGTTTTAATTTTCTAATGCACTATAATTATTTGGTTGGTTGGTGTTGGATTAATAATCATAGGAATTGTTCAATTTTCTCTCTCTCTCTCCCCGGCAGTTCTTTCCTCCCCTCTTTATTTTATTTTTTCTTTTCTTTTTCTCAAGCTTTCAAAGCTTGATTCAAGCCTCATGTTGACCGTCGTCGGATGTTGTTAGCTTATATAGGGGCTTATATATTATACCATGAAGTCATGGTTATTTAAATGCTTGTATCATCTAGATTATTTGATACAAACAAGAATCATCTTTATAATTTAGCTTTTAAATTTTTATTGTCACGGCTGAAAGAAGATAATAATAATAATAATAATAATAATAATAATAATAATAATAATAATATAGGTTTCATACTTTGTTAAAGAAATCAAAAACAAAGAAAACACGATTTTGATCACTTCTTTTGCTTGCACTACTCTGAACTTTGTACCAAGTGAATCATTAGATGAGATGGATTTGATTCCAAAAAGCAGGACCAGTTTCCATCTTTGTAATTCTATAATCTCTACAGGGAAAGGAAGCTTGGTGATGGTTTCAAAAAGCATACTTCGATTTGTAGGTTTAGTTGGCATCGCGCATGGCTAGATTTCAATATTTGTCCATAACAAGATTCAGTATGCAAGGATAGATTCCATTTTACTGAGGAGGAAGCTTGGACTTGGTTTCAGAGTATTTGGTAGTGTCTGAAATTGCTAAAGGATTTATTTGTTATTTAAACCTTGTGCTTCCTCAATCGGTTATGCTATTATTATTATTATTATTATATTTTAATTTTTTACACACAACTATTTTTTATACTGTTTAAAATAATATAGCTGCATGATGTTCTCATAAAGCATGCAGGCAGATTTCCTTAGGATTCTGTAAAATTCTTAAGCCATCAAACTTATTCATGTTGTGCCTTAGCACAGGTAATATATCTCCAAGTCTGGTTTTTGTTGCAGGCTTTTGGTCATTGTTTTTTCTTTTTAGACATTGTGCTGCTATACCAGTCACATATGATTTCAACTGTATTTAAAAACTACAGCATCAAAATTTAATTTCATTTAATTACTTTTATCCATTCAATTTGATTGAATTTTGAAGGGTAGTTTGAAACTTTTGTAGATGTTTTAGCAGAGTAAAACTTTAAAAGAAATCATCACCTTTTCCTTTTTCTTTTTCTTTTTCTTAAACTTCTTGTTGTTTATGCTATTTGAATTCTTACATGCATGCTCTCCCAAAAGCAATATTATTATTATTATTATTATTATTATTTTAATGAAATTTAGGTGAGGGATTCCCTAACAAAAGAATAATAATAATAATAAAAACTTTGGTAAGGTGAAGAGATATTTTGTCTTGATATATATATATATATTTCCGCAAATTTAAGCAAATATATAGATGTGTGTGAGTAAACTATTAATAATGAGCCATTAAACAAAACAAGTCAGCTAAAAACTAGCCCATTAAATTTGTAGGATCAGTTGGACAATATTAGGCCAGCAACAAACCTATCGTTTTGGGTTACAGCCCACAGAAGGAAGGCATGCAAGTCCATTGAGGAATTCTTGTTAATTGCCTTGAAATCCAATTCAATCGTACTTCCTCATCAAAGAGGTGCTGATGTGTGAGTTTTTTCTTGCCAAGATTTTTATTTTTATTTTTTTCAAAAAAAAAAAAAAGGCGATGCAGAAATTGAATATGGCAACCAAAAAAATAACAATAATAAATAAAAGAGGCTTGAGGTGTAATGAATGAATCTCTACCAAAATGTAAACAAATTACATAAAACAATGAAACATTATCACAACACTCCCACACTTGAAAAAGAATGGCAATCAATCATTTTCTGTAACATATTGAGATCAGTATCATATGCTGTGGTTTAAATCCTAAAGATCATTGAAACAAAAACGAATAATTCAAAAAATAAAAAAATAATTAATTTGAGTTTTTTTTTTTTTGAAAGATAAGGATAAATTTCATTGAAGAAAGAGGATACAAGGCTAGCAATATCTAACCAGATGGATGATGGGCCAAGCCCACAAGAGCATACAAACATAGAAAAAAGAAGAAGATAGTCCACGAATTAATTGCAATATGCCAATGATTTCAGGGAGTTTTTTTGCACTTTACCCTTATTATATGTGAAAGAATTTTAAAAAAAATAAAATAGGTCATTTATGGTAGAATTTGAGTTTTGTAAAGTAATAAATTCGTACCGAAGCCCTTGAAGATTCTCAATAAATGAGAAGCCTAAGGCTAACCTGCTGAAATAGTATTTTTCTTTCCATGTAGATCCAATCAATCGACCAAGAGGCTATACCACATGGAACGGGTCCAGTCAGTTTGAAGACAGACCGCATTAGTTTCAATGCACCAAAGGGATGGACCAGCTATTACTATAAGTCGGAGAACCTGCTTACCTCATCGTTACTTGATAGTTGCAAACTACCGAGAGTAGCTCCTCGTTGAGGGCCAAGAGTAGTAATTTGAAATTTGAATTTTATTAAGTAATTTGAAATTTATTATAATTTTAGGTAATTTGTGTTAGATTTTTATGAAAACAAATAAATAAATAGGTAATTTGTGTTAGAGTTTTATAAAAACTATTAGGTAATTTGTAAATAAATAAATATATAGGTAATTTGTATTAGAGTTTTATAGAAATATATGTGATAGAGCTTTATAAATTTAAATTTTATTAGATATTTTGTAATTTGAATTTTATTAGGTAATTTAAAATTTAGTATGATTTGAATTTTATTAGGTAATAATTTATTATATGTGATAGAGTTTTATAGATTTAAATTTTGTTATATGTGATACAGATCTCCTTAAGTTGAAAAATAAGGTACAATTAGTTAGGTGCTTAAATTGTTCACCTACAGATATCCGTTCTTTGTGAAACCTTAATGACGCGTTTGGTAGTTAATTCGAGAAGAAAATTAGAACTTAAAAGGATAATGTGGTAAAACTTTAATTTTTTAAACCTTGACATTTCAAAAGTGAAACTTATTTTGAAAATAGCTTATCAATGTAATTTGGAAACTTATTTGGAAAGAATGGAGTATGAATTAAATGCACACGTTTATGAATAGATTCAGATTGGAGAAATGATAATACATCATTAATTGATTTTAGACAACTGTTTTGTTATTTTATTTTACTTTTATATATATTTCAATTTCCTTTCCTTCTTAAAAATTACCTTTTTCTTTTTATTTTCTTACCTTACATAGAAATTACTTTTCATCTTCTGAATCCAGTATTTTTTCCCAAGGTCTCTCAATAAAAGCGCCTCAATACTCATGCTCCGAGTACCTTCGATTTCTCTGTCTAGGGTTTTCGAAATCCTCTCTTTCTCTCTCTAGATTTACAAAGATTCGAAGTAAAAAAGCAGAGACCAATAGCCGATGAGGTACAATACGCGTCTGGACTCAGCCACCAACAAGAGGAAGTACGGTGACCAAACTCCGCCACCTCCGTCTTCCGGTACACGGCGAGCTATTGGATTCTCTGCTCCAATCGCGTCTCAGTCACCAGATTCAGGTCACACGCTGTCGTCGTACAACAGCGTTCCTCCACCGGTCGATGACTTCCAGATCGCAGAACACATTAGGTTTAAAATTTACATGGGTAACCGACGTTAATTATAACACAGGATGGTCTATGGGCCGAGTTGGATTATAAATACACCATGATAATATAAGTCTAGGGTTACGATCAACGATCAAAACATTTAGTCACAAACTAAGTTCTGTAAACAATCAAACAGAGGGTTGAGAATTTAGGAGGACAACGGTGCAAGGATAAAGGCAAGTTCTAATCCTAACTTTATTACTTAGGCTTGTGTTCTTTGCATCTCTAATACAATTCCAGGAATCTATAAAGATTAAAAGTAAATTGGTTTACATGTCTCTGTTGTTTGGTTTAAACTGAACGTAGCATGGGTTACACTGCTTAATTGTTTATAATCTTTTGTATGTAACTCTTAAATTAATTCATGTAAATTGATATATCAAGAGTTAAATTAGTTTTTAACACTCAGAGAAGCATTAATATTACTCTGGTTCACATGGTTGAGTTACTCAGAACAGTGTGTGTTCTTGAAGGGTAAACTGCTCGTTCTAACTTCTTGTTGCAGAAATCTTGTTCCGATTGTTGTCATCTTGTTCCGATTGTTGTCAGGGAGTGACTGAGGCATTAAACTATTTCTGGATCACACTTGGAATTTAAGACGGTATTGAGGAATCCGCACCAGAGGCCTCGATGAATATTTACTAGACAGTAGGAAGCCCAGCCCGCTGATGATAAAAGAACATAATTAGCACGTAATTCACTGAAACAAAATAAAGTAAATATATTTTTTTGATAAGTAAAAAAACAAAAGAAAGTAAATTATATGATATTGTGCTAATTGCATATGATATATAGTACCAAATTCGCCGGAAGAAGTCGCCGGGTTTTGGTAGCTTTCCAAAGGTAGCCACCTTTCCATTTTCTGGTTTAACAACAATTGCAACGTACTTGATAAAGTCGAATGGATCGAGTGCCGCTCCTGTGTTGTGGTAATTCTTGAAAATCAACAACTCTGTTTTCCTGCGGTTACTCAGACTTTCGTCCCAAAATCTCCAAGCGTTTACTTCCTTCGGTTTATTACAATCTAAAGTAATCGCTTCCCATACGATTAGAAATCCAAAACGCACCGGTACGATCTGTATCGTGTCGGTTTCGGGGTATTCAGTTTCAATTCGGCAAACAGTATCCGTTAAAGATGGCATTGAAGCGGAAAACCCAAAATCACACAGTTCGGGGGATCTAGGGTTTTAAGCAGTGTAGAAAAGTTCTAATCACACCGTTCAAGGGAAAGGGATCTAGGGTTTTAAAAAGGACAAAGGTATAGGAATAGGACAGATACGAGCGGGATTCGATTTGGTATGAACTGGAATTTAAATAAGGGAAATAAATATATATAAAGGAAATATTTTTTTATTTTATTCTTAAAATTTTGATATTTAATTTTTTTTTTTCAACTTATCCACACAAAG